GAACTTGCTTTATAGACCAGGCTGACTTTGAACCCACAGAGGTTCCCCTGCCTCCTCTCCTGAGTCCTGCAATTAAAGATGTGTGCCGCCACCACCACCTGGCTATGAATTTTTTAAAAAGAGATCTTCCTGAGTGAGAACTCAGTTTGTATCCAGATTTAGCACCAATTTGGGGTGTCTGAGAAGAGATACTGACCAATCAGAGTAGCCAGGAAGTTTTTCTGCATGTAGTTGGCACAGTTGGAGGGGCTTACTTGAAAGAGGAAGTGCCCATCTTCCCAGGGATTGTGGAGAAAATGCTGTAATGGGAAGGAAGCAGAATAAAACGGCTCTCCATGTTCAGTTTCCTTACTCGCCCTGGTCCTGTAGTAGGCAGCTGCTGTTGTGAAGAAGCCCAGCATTTCTGGGGTGCTCATCCTAATGGTATGGTCTCACTGTTGATGCATACAGTTCATTGTAACCATCCAAGAATCTGAGTGCTGGCATACTTAGACCCAACAAGCTCCTAGCCATAGATACATACTTGCTATTCAGCCACACTGTTCCATTTCTGAAGATCCTCTCTATGAGTCTGAGCTTTTAGTGGATGGAAAAGAAGGAATGCAGAATGAGAATGATGTCACCCTTCCTGGATTTGGTCCCCTCTCTCTACTATTATCTCCCTGCTCATTTGTCCTGTGGTGGTAAGAGTTTCAGACCCAGGTACTTGCTGTGTTAACCAGTTAATACACACACACTTTGTCAAAAGAGTTAAGAAACTTCAAGGATGCTGATCTTCATAATTATACCACTTAAAAGTCAGGCTCAGCAACGAGATGTACTTATTTCTGGGGATGCATGCCCATATTGATTCTCTGGCTTTTAATTTGTTTGGATTCTCATCTAAGTATCAGCGTCTCAAAGAGCTCCTTAAAGCTTTCCGTCATAGCAGATTAATCATGTCTCTGTTGATAGAAGTTTAATAAAGCTCTGATTGTGTTTATTGTGCTTGCCTAGGAATTTTGACTTAATGGCTGGTGTAGTATTTTATTTGTATCAGGGAAACACTGATCTATTTTAACCAAATAATAGATCTAAATGAGATATGCTTTGATAAAATAGAGCAAGAATTGAAATACTTAAATACTCATTTATAGGCAGTGAGTAAATAATCATGGTACAGCCACACAATAGAACTACTGTATAGTCATTACAAAGAATAAGACAGACTTCTCTATGATAACATTAGGAAGAAAAAAATCAAATCACAGAAGACTGTAATGCAGTCCTTTTGGTGTGTGTGACAGAAGCAGCCACAGATGAACTCGGGGAAAGCAAACACACTGTCACAGACACAGACACAGAGACTCTCCGAGGACCCGCGAGCAGCTGGAACTGGGATCACCTGGGAAAGGGCATGCTGGGCTGCAGAGGAGTACAACTGTGTTTTCTGCACTGCTGGAATTTTTGGAGCGATTACATTATTCTAGACATTTAAAGGGAGTTCTACCCTGGAGAAAATGATTCATATAAAGAAAGTGATCATTTGAGACCAGCTAAAATTGAGAAAATACTTTATGATAGTTTCACTTTTGAAGTCAGACTTAAAGAAAGGCATGATTTTATAGATCAAAAAAAAGTTGAATTTTCAGGTTTTGTATTTGTTCATATTTATGTGCAGCTTTTCTAAGACACAGTTTAAAAGTGAGACAACATCTAAACTCATAGATTGATAGAAGCATGGCTGCAAAGCTGATAGCACATGTAGCAATCTCACCACTAAGGTAAACGTTTAATCTTGAAGCTCTGTCTCCTGATGGGGTTCTTAGGTCATAATGGGTGAGAGATGTGGGTGCTCTGTAAACTGTAGTAATGGGTGAGACAAGTTAAGATGTTGATTTGAAGGAGGAAAGTTAAGTCCCAGTTTATAAACAACCTAGATGTAGCCACAAGCTCATCCATCACCTTAGGGAGGAGACAGACAAAAGGCATTTTCTTCAGTAGGGCACTATTTTAACAACAGCAAAAATCAGGGTGCATGAAGACTGTTTTGGATTTGAGAAATTTACAAGACACAGTAACCTATTATATTAATCTTGGTTCTTGCAAACAGTTTTATAGGAACAACCATAAAATTGGAATATTGACACCAACATTAGATTATAAGTTCTATTTTGTTAGATTTGATAATAACTTGGAAGTCTGAAAGAAAATGCCATCTGTGGAATGTGTGGAAGTGAGTTGTCAGTGTCTGAGTTTGCTTTAGAATACTTAGGAGGTGGGGAGGAGATGTAGTCAAAAGAGATGACAGAAGTCCTTGGAACATTGTCACACCAGCTAGTGACTATTAAAATATGAGAAAGGAATGCATGGGTGTTTAATATTTCTCTAAACTTATTTTTAGTGAAATGGATTTCATATTTGTATGTTGAAAAATCATGAAACTTTATTTTACAGAGTCATTTTGTAGTTGAAACTGTAGAACAAGAATCTGGAGGAAGAATTTAAATAGCATCCTGTATTGTGAGGTGTGTGGAGCTATGAGGGACTGTGCTTGAGTCTCTGGAAGAAATAGTGCATTAGATGACAAAATGGGTAGCCTTCATCGTCTTGAACTGACTCTTCATAGTAGTCTTCTAAAGTATTGGATCCTCCTAGGAATGCACGTACATGTAAGGATACACGTGTACACATAGTACCCTTCTAAGGTACTGAGGTACTAGATCTTCCTGGGAATGCATGTACATTGTAGGATACACATGTGTACACGCACGCACGCACGCACGCGTGTGCGCTTTCTGGCTTTGGTACCTTTGCACACGAAGAAGTTTGACCAGTATTAAATCCTCCTGGCGTCCTGACTGTAGTGCGTTTCCTGAGCTAGGAGAGTCCTGGACAGACCAAAACCAGTTGGTCACCATTGCTTGGGAAATTCCAGAGGATTTACTATAGCCCCACTGAATCCTCATCTTAAAGAAAATAAAAACACTATGCATTATGGATTAGACAACTCTCAGGTGACTTAGACTAGCACTTCACAGTTGTGGTTTTAGTCCTCCCTAGGATGTACATCGAATAGCACACCTGCCCGTGGTGAAATGTCAGGGTCTGACTGTCTTAGTTTGTTCCTGCTGCTGTGATAAAATGGCCTGAGAAATGCAGCTTAGGTGAGAAAGGGTTTCATTTAGCTCACAGTTCCAGGGTACAGTCCATCGTCGTGAGGTCAGGACAGCTCATGCAGAGTGATTGAATGCCTATGCAGAATGATTGTATGCATGCCCATGCTCAGCTGTTCCCTCCATCGCACCAGTCCAGGCGCCAGCTGATGAGCATGATGCCGCCAACATTCAGAGCATGTCAGAAAATGGTACCGTACCATGTGGAGCCCTTTCAGTTCATTAGCCTAGCCCCCAGTTCTGTCCATCACCACCTTGCCTCTGCTTCCTTCTGTCATGGTTCAATCCAAACTGGACACTATCGTATTTCTCACTGCCTATTTACCTGAGTCAAGTTACCAGGGCCACCAGTTCTTAAAAGCTTTTGAAATTCCTTAACTCCATTTTTCTTTTTTTACACCAATTTATTTCAAGCATCCTCTCATTTTTTACCTGATCAATTACAGAGCCTCCTCATTTATAAATGTTTCAATTGTTTATAAACTAAGCATATCATCACTTTTGAAGCATCATAATTTTACTCAAAGAATTTCTTAAAAGTCTGAAAAGTAGGAACCTGACTTTTTTGTATTTTGACTGTTTACATAAACTATTAAAATAAGTGTATATATTGTCATTTGGAGATTTGTTCAATTTCGGAAATGGAAAGTATTGAATCAACTATGAACAAAGTTGTGTAAAGGGCATTATAAAAAAGGAAAATCTTTTTTGCTCATAGTCAATTCAGTTGCCACCTTTCCCACAAAATATTAAATGTCAGCTTTGCCAAATAACAGCTTTGCTGGCTTACTGAGCGGCCATCCATAGCAGCATGTCTCTGGAGGGAGCTTCCCATCAGAAGCGTGTAGAGTGGGCAGCCAGTGGAGATGCTACAAGCCCAGGGAATGGATGAGCTGCACTGTCTGGTGTCCACTAGAGCGCCTTCAAACAGTTCTTCAGGGATGCTTCTCGGTCTTTCCCATTCAAGTCTGAAAGTTAGATTCTTACGTTTCCAGATACTGGGAATAGGACCCTTACTTAGAATAAAGAAGAGTGGTTCATGCTGGAAAGGAAGAGAGGAGCAGCGCAGGCCTTGCAGGGCAGAGCTTGACTAGTGAAGCCCTTGAGGCCCCGGGAGGGACATAGATGGGGTCTGTTAGCTATCCCGTGCTGCTGTAAACGGATGCCGAGGAATGTATAAAGAAAGTATGTTTGAGGCCGGGCGTTGGTGGCGCACGCCTTTAATCCCAGCACTCGGGAGGCAGAGCCAGGCGGATCTCTGTGAGTTCGAGGCCAGCCTGGGCTACCAAGTGAGCTTCAGGAAAGGCGCAAAGCTACGCAGAGAAACCCTGTCTCAAAAAACCAAAAAAAAAAAAAAAAAAAAAAAGAAAGTATGTTTGGTTTGTAGCTCTGTGACTGGAAGATGCAGTCGGCATGATGCCAGCGTCTGGCAAGGGCCCCTTCCTGCATCATGCAGGAGTGAGTGAGTGTGTGTGACAGGGGAGGGAAGGAGGCCAGGAGGAGGTCATGTAGGAGAGAACAAGAGAGCAAGCCAAAGCGGGACTTGCTTCGTGAAAGCTCCCTTTAGAATACCAGCCCAGGGCCTCCAGAGCCCTAACTCACCTCCCGAGAAGAGCAGTCCCCTCCCTTGAAGGCCCTACACCTGGACACTGTCACTGTGGTGACAGGAGTTTTGATGTGGACAGACCAGACAGAATCAAGCCTTGCAGATACCGCTGGAGACGGACTTGTCTCTCTAGAAAGGGGATCGTCCCTTGTGTGGTTATAAGCTGAGTGGGGACCAAGGCCATCTTTACAAAAGCAAACCTGAATTGGTGACTGATGAGCCCTTCTTTTCTTTTTCAGTCTACTCCCTTACACCTGGCAGCAGGCTACAACAGAGTTCGGATAGTGCAGCTGCTTCTACAGCACGGTGCTGATGTCCATGCAAAAGACAAAGGGTAGGCGCAGCCATTTCTGCCTTTTGAGGATTTCATGGATGGATGATTATGCCGTTTTCATCATTTGATAGTCTGAAGTAGCTCATTAGGAATGTTCAGTGGGGCTGGAGAGACTGGGGTTTCATTCCTAGCACCCAGAGGGCTTCTCACACCTGTGTCCAACTCCCATTTCACAGAATTCAGTCCCCTCTCTTGGCATCTGTGGACACCAGGTACATAAACATGCGATACAGACATACATGTAGGACAAACACCATACATGTAGCATAATAATAAATTTAAAATAATGTTCTCTGGTTTGATCTCAGATCGTATTTTATGTATGTACTATAGACTTCTCACAATCCTTTGTTAGACCAATTTAATTTTATTGCGATTCTATTTGAAATTATTTTTCACAGTTATAATCATTTTCATCTCTTAAATTGCATTTCAGAAAGATTTAAAAATACTGAAAATTGTGATTATCTAGTATAGTAGCTATTAAAAGATTTCCCACTTATTAATAAACTATAATAATGAGTAAATGATTTTTTAATTTAATTTTTTTTAATCCACTTAAACTAATTCAATCAAGATGGTCCTTATAAACATTGGTACAGGAAGTAATGGATAAGAAACAAAAAAATGTGTCGTTTTCTTTATGAATTGATAAATATTGGAAGCTTACCCATTTCCTTCTGGTTTCCAATGATCTGTGGACATTTGTTTTCTGTCCTATACGAAAAGCTAACATTTCTCATATTCTGGCCTTAAGATGTCAAGGATAATTGACCCTACCCAGGTGAGGCAGATCATGTTCGGCTTCTATGATTGACAGCGTAAAGAAGAAATGCCCTAGAGGGAGACTTCCTTCATTCAGCTCACATTCGTGTCCGGAAGCATAAAAATGAACTCGGTACTTGAGACAGTTACAAGAAGGAGAGTCCATCCATTTCAGATCTGCCCCTTTCCATGCTGTCTGTCTCTTGTTGTCAAGTTTTGTGCCTCCTGTGAATCGTGTGTCCCTGGAGAGAAGGGCACAAGTGCCTGGCACCCTTGTATACCTGTTTTCTTGTGCATATCTGAAAACAGATGAGTGAAGAACAGGCAGTCGTCCAGAAGCACACAGCAGGAGAGGGCGGCTTCTAACCTCACTTAGAAAGGGCACTCTGATAGGAGAGTTTGGGTATTTAATTCTTATTCTGAGATGTAGTACAAAAGTGGATTGAAGTAGGACTATTTCGGTTCCCTGCCAGTTACTGTGCATGTTACATACTGATATTTGTTTACTAATGCATTGGTCTTTCCTTTAATTCTTCTGATGGGTGGTTTTTATTATTTTCATGGATCATGCATAAAGACCACAAGATAAATACTAAAGGTGTCATATAAGCTGTGCTTTGAGTTCTTTCCATAAATTCTTAAAAAACAGAATTTATTAGATTTCTTTTTTTAGCAGTTCACAACCAGATGGCTGTTTGGAATTTCAATATTTTAATTTCCTCTTTTCATTTAGCGGACTTGTACCTCTTCATAATGCATGCTCATATGGACACTATGAGGTCACAGAACTGCTGCTAAAGGTAAGAGAAATCCAAAATATGGAATAGTACTGGCTTGATTTTTGTTTTTTTTAGCTTGTTGATACTTCGTGGATTTTTTTAACAAGTTATGTTATTATGACAGTAAGATGATGTATAAAAATATTTCCACTGCTTAGAAACTTTGAACATTCAACTAAAACTGTTTTTTAAATGCTGGATTTATAACAATTGTATTCCGAAAGTTATAGCTGACGTTTTCAGTGAAATGCTTTTTCTGGGTTTGCTCCCCTCGTGGAGATGGTTACTAATGTCGGGCTTTTCTGGTGCAGCATGGAGCTTGTGTCAACGCTATGGATCTGTGGCAATTCACTCCACTCCATGAAGCTGCTTCCAAGAACCGTGTAGAAGTCTGTTCTTTGTTACTTAGCCACGGTGCTGATCCGACCTTGGTCAACTGCCACGGCAAAAGTGCTGTCGATATGGCCCCAACTCCTGAGCTCCGCGAAAGACTGACTTGTGAGTGTTGGTGTGCCTGGTGTGGCTAGCCAGAGTGAGAATATCTCAGCTCTGCTTCCTTACCCCGGCTGTTTTCCAACTAGACAATGTTCTCCTCTTCTTACACGTGTACGGGTTTATCATAGTCATTTCTAATCATATGCCTTGCTTCAGTATACCACAAGAGCCTTTAACACACACATACACATTATACATACAACACATACACTATACATAATACATACATACATACACGAAGATGTGATTTTTGTTTTGTTTTTTTTTTTTGTTTTGTTTTTCAAGACAGAGTTTCTCTGTGTAGCTTTGCGCCTTTCCTGGAACTCATTCTGTAGCCCAGGCTGGCCTTGAACTCACAGAGATCCACCTACCTCTGCCTCCCAAGTGCTGGGATTAAAGGCGTGCGCAACCACCACCCGGTGAAGATGTGATTTTTTAAAGCCCGATTCTAGTTAGTTTGTCAAGGCTCCTGTTTTTGTTTTATGTTTTGTTTTGTTTTGTGGTGTTTTGCTTTGGGGTCTTGGGGGTTTTGTTTTTTGGGGGTTTGTTGTTTTGTTTTGTTTTGTTTTGACAACTAAAGGGTAAGGTCCATCAACAACTATTTACTGAATATGGTTTTCCTGTGTGACAGACATTAGAAATACAGCAGTATACAAACCAAAACAAAAGGCTCTGGGCTCACAGAACTTACATTTTTCTGCCACTGGTAATTAAAGGTGATGCTGAACATTAATTGTCCATCTCTAGAAAGTTGCACAGTCATGTTCTTATTCACATGTGAGTGTTATGTCCCAGACTTGTGATTTGATGGACATAATCTTCATAACTATTAATATGTATTATATATGTGTATATATGTTTAAGGAAATTGCACGTAGTTTCAGGTGTGCAGAAAGTTTATATAGCTGGCACAGAGAATTCTCACCTACAGCATATCTAGGTTGCTGTGTTACTGACATTCTGCATTAGTGTGGCCCATTTATCACAGTTAATAGTAACCCAGCATGGACACGCGGTTAACTGAAGGCCACACTAACTAGATGTCCTTGGTGTTGCCTAGAGTCCCCTTTCCATTGGGTTCTCATTCAGGTTGTCACACTGTCGTGTTACAGCCGGACTGACATGTATGCAGTTCTCCATGCGGGCATTGGAGATTTGAGTAGGCTAGGTATCTCCACCTAACTTGAACTGCCTGGGGTCTGCCTCCAGCCTCGTATGTAGGAGGCCAAGAGTAAGAAACACCTAAGAAAGTCTTTACGGGGACACCTCAAGGAAAAGAGTGCTCACGGTGACGCTCATGCCCTTTGTCGTGAAGCAGTGTTTCGGCCAGTGTTTCTGAAAAGAGTAAATTTCCTAAAATTTTAATCAGGTATAGAAATTGAAATGTATTGTATTCATGTAGTCAGAGTAGGTTGGATTTTCATCAAGTGTGAGCCCAGTCATGACTGGGGAACACCTTTGTTGTCCCCTTATAGAACTCCACACCTACTCACCCACTCACTCACTCACCCACCCACTCACCCACTCACTCACTCACCTACCCACTCACTCACTCACTCACTCACCCACCCACTCACTCACTCATGCCATGCTGTAGTGGATTATATAGTTATTTTCTATATTCTAGCTTCCACAGAAAAATGTAAGCTTGTAGGAAAAGGACGACCTTCGGACACCTGTGCTATCTCTGTTATCTTAGTGAGGCCTCTGGGTCATGTCTCTGTCTAACCCCAGCCTAGTGTAGTGCTTGTGTGTGCTGTATGTTCAGCAATGTCAGCCAACTGAACTTGACTCTGCTCAGAGTTGATAATTCTGTTTTCTAATTTACTTTTTTTAGTTTATGTGATGGCTCATATTTATCCCTACGTCATCATTGTCCCTTTATTCCGCTCTTATTAGAAGTCTAGACAGTCTGTTTTATCAGGTTGTCTTAGTCTATTGTATACCTCAACGTTCACCTAAATTTGTGTAGCTTTTTACAGGGAGCAGTTTCTTAGCTGTTTCCAACCTTCTCGATAGGAGTTTTCATTAAATAAGATTCTACTGAGAATTATGTGGAGGGAAGAACTTAGGGATCTGCTCTAGCTGCAGTTTTCAGTGCCCTGTTTACTGCTGTGTAGTTGATGTTCACATAACAGAATTTGTTAAAGGAAATAATACAGGAGGCTTGAGAGACGGACGGCTCAGTGGTTAAGAGTACTCGCTGTGCATGCACCCTGAGGAACTGACTTTGGATCTCAGTGCTCCCAGAGCAAGGCGAGCATGTTTTACATGTGCCTGTAATCCCTACCTCAGAGGATCAGGACGCCTTCATCTGGCCTCCACACATACCTCACATACACACCCCAAAGAAGAAATTTATACAGGAAAAAAATAATGTTTACACCATGCCATTATTACAACCACATCATTCTGCATACTTACCCCCTTTCTTGATTTTTATTTATTCTTTTTGTAAAGCCAAATAAATGAGGTAGCTTGAATTTCATTCTTATTTTAAGATCTATTTAGAAAGGCAAACTTTTAGACATTTTATAATGAAAATTATCAGGTTTCTGGGTTAGTGTCATTGGTAGTTGTAACATCTTTTAAACTGTATGTCTTTGATATTCTAGAAACACACACCTGGCATGGGGTGGGGTGGATGGAATGGTCCAGAAGTTCAGAGTGCTTCTGGCTCATGCAGAGGACCCAGAGTGGGTTCCCAGCACCCATGTGGGACCGACTGTTCACAGCGGTGAAGTAACTCCAGCTCCAGGGGATCCAGTATCTCTGGTCTCCGTGAGCACCCCACACGAGTGCACATGCCTACACATGGACACAGACACACATCATGAAAATAATAATACAAATAAGACTTTAAAAATAAGTTTTTGTTGACCTTTGCATTTAAAATTTTAGAACAATTACATAGGTGATAGGCATTCCACTTCCTGGGTTGTTGCTTTTTAATCATAATGATTCCTCAATAAAATATTTTAAATTTCAAAATTAATTTGGTCAGAGATCTTACAGTATTTCTAAGAGCAAAGTTAAGGAATATTTTCTGTAGGAAATATTGTGCATGCCATTTAATTTTATTGCTGTGCCATAGTTCTTTCTTTCCTTGGCCCTCCGGTGTTGTGATTTACACTTCCATACATTTGCTCTTTTCTTCTGAGCCGCCAGTCCTTACTGTACAGTAGAAAAAGACCGCACTGCCTGTATCACGCTGCTGCTGCTGATAGGCTGCTTGGCATTCAAGACAGCGTCACCTGCCTTCAGCTTCAGTTCTCTCCGCTCACGCCAGCCAAGCTGTCCTGTTGTTTGCTGTCGCTTCTGAATGCACCCGCTCCTTATACTCTGCCTGTAGTTCCCTGGCTTCAGTAGTCCTGCTCAGAGCATTTTTTAATGTTTGCTTATTATGTATACGGTGCTCTGCCCGCATGTGTACATGTCTGCCTGCAGGCCAGAAGAGGGCACCAGACTCATTACAGATGGTTGGGAGCCACCAGGTGGTTGCTGGGAATTGAACTCAGGTCCACTGGAAGAGCAGCCAATGCTCTTAACCTCTGAGCCATCTCTCCAGCCCCCCTACTTAGAGTATTAAAATCAAAACGTCTAATTTTGCTATTGATATTGACTTGTTTACTTTATCATCTCAGTTAACCTTGTGTTTTGTTCCAGAAGTTTTTAAAAGTCTCACACTGAGAAATTTAGCATGTTAAAGAACCATAAAATAGGGCTGCAAGATAGCTCAGCCAGTAAAAGTCCTTACCACAGAAACCTGATGATGTGAGTTTGATTCCTCAGAACCCACTTTGGACAAAGAAAATCAACGCCTAAAAGTTATCCTCTGACCTCTGCATATACCCTGTAGCACGCACGTACGCGCGCACGGACACTCACACATACACACACACACACACACACACACACACACACACACACACACAGACTTTTTTTAAAGGAAATGTTAAATAAAAGGTCATCTAGAAATGATTTATTTCCTGAACTAACACAACTTATTAATAACAGCTAATATTTATTGAGAACCTACTATGTGCCAAACTCTGTACTAAATGATAAGGACTGAAGAATAAATATGACCATGGTACTAAGTTATTACAACTGCTGTGGTCCTAACTGAAAGTCTTCAGTGAAGGCAGATAGGGAGGCATGTCCAAAGTGTCTAAACTGAGGCCTTAAATAGTGACTGGTGGTTCATAAGGCACGTAATGTGTTTGAATAGATGTCTGTGTACATTTCTCATTCTTTTGAGAGAGAGGAATGTGCTGAGGTCCTCACAAGAAAGGAAAAACAGCACAGTATCATGTGGATGCATAGGTCAGACATTAGAACAGCTGAAATGGTTTTATATTGGTGTCAAACTTCATTTGTATATTTTTAGAACAGTTTTCAGCTTTGTTAATAAAATTGTATAAAATAAAACTAAACTTGTAACATAGAAAATAAAAATCTAAAATTATTCTTATGTAGTTATTATTCTTTGAAAAATTTCAAATTCTGGCAGTTCTCAAACATTTCAGTTCTGTGTCAAGAAGAAGTATTGTTACTATTTGACTGTTTCTCTAAATATCATTTTCTGTCCCATGACTTCCATTCAGTTCTGATGGCAGCAGGGACAGCAAGAAGAGTGACAGTGTAAGAAACAGGCTCCTCCTGTCTCTTCTCCCTGACACTGCATAAGGTCCCTGTTCTGTGTAAGAGCTGTACCCAAGTAAAGTGCCTTAGTATGTGACTTGCCATCCGCTCGGAGAGTATGAAAGACTCATTTCACAGTATTTATATCTCCAAAGTTTTCCTTAACCTATACCTGCATTCTTTATATTATCATGATTTTAGATTACTATTTGAAGTAAAATGGAGATGTTTGCAAAGTTAGTAATTTTCCTACTTGCAATTTTGATTTGTGTGTTTGTGTATGTGTATTTTTATATGTATTGGCCTTTTGAGACAGTCTCACACAAACTGGCCTCAGACTCACTTTGTAGGCCAGTCTAGCCTTTAATTTGTAATCTTCCTGCCTCAGCCTTCCAAGTGTGGGGACTATAGGTTTGCAAATTATACTTTCCAGCGTTGATTATAACTTTTAAAACTATATGTCATTTTTTGTTTAATAACTATTTTTATTTAATAACTGTTATTTCATTGGCAGATGAATTTAAAGGTCATTCTTTACTACAAGCAGCCAGAGAAGCAGACCTGGCAAAAGTTAAGAAAACCCTTGCTTTGGAAATCATTAACTTCAAGCAGCCGCAGTCCCATGAGACAGCGCTGGTAAGAGGGCATTACCCATGCATCCCGGGTCAGTCGGTCGGTAACAGTGGGCAGCATTAAATAATGCTTTCAGTTCAGAAACCTGAAAGTGCTCTACTCTGAAATGCCAGCAATTTGCATTTTAATGGTGGTTGCACTGATTTTTAACTTGGGTTTGCTCATGATTCTTTGTGGGTGAAGGACTAGATATTTGCTCAGCCGTGATTTAGACTTGTTCTGTCTCTCTATTCACCCAAGCTTATTGTGACAAATTACTTTTGTGCTCAATGCTTTCATTATAATGCAAAATGGGAGCTGATAGGATCTTTTCTTTAGGAGTATGCTTACTAGATAAATATTATATCTGTTTTCTCTAGAAAATATGGTGTCATAGATATTTGCATCATCCTCTGGAGTAATTGCATTCAAATAATGGATTATGTTCATGTGAGGAAATATTACACCTGAACTTTCTGTTCCTGGCTGTATAAATAACCTTTAAAACTATCATTTTTTTTTCCTCCTAGTACTCTCTCAGGAAGATTCACTTATTTTTATGTCATTAGATACATTTAGGCACAGGTGTTGGTCTGGTTAGTGTATGCCCCTAACTTCAAAATTTAAGCATATGTGGATTTTATAGCATAGACTGTTAAATATGCTTCATTTAACTTCCTTAAACCTGTGTGGCTCAGAAAGGTCATTTAGCCCATTCTGCTGAAAACACTGTAAAAGATTAACCAAATTGAAATGGACCAACTTAAATTTAAAACCATCAACCCCAGTTCAAATAGCTTTAGTCTACACAGTGCTAGGCCAGGAGGTTAAGAGTCACAGAACATAATCCCCAGCCTTAAGGAACTCACTCGGCTGTTCTGGGGTAGTTACTCTACTCACTTGTGAGCAGTTTTAGTTTTTAAAATGTTAATACAATCATCGATGCAAAATGGAGCAAAATACAAAAGTTATATAAATATGAGGATAAAATGTGAAGTTCCTGAGACTATTACTTCCTGTAAATTGCTTTAAGGTCACATGTTTTCACCAATGACTGAGCAGATCAGCTTATCCTCTCGATGGAGTAATGAAGAAACGCTGACTTTTGCAGCTGATAGACCAATGAAGCCTTGAGTCATTTAATATAGATTTCCACGGCTTTGAAAAAGCGGTGTTCTAACGCCTTCAATGGAATATATGCTTAGTAGTGTTTATTGACTGAAGAAAAAGAAATGAAGTCCCTTAATGCTTAATTGAGAATATAATTTCACTTGGTTTGCACTCCCAATGTGTTTAAAGGGAATATTGACCATCTCCTTAGAGAAAAATGCGTCATTATGCCATGATACATTTTGAGATTACAGTGTTCCAAATAGCTTCCAGCTGCAGTTTCGTTCAGGAGTCCCCGTTTAAATACAAGTCTGCTCTTCTTAAACTGACTTTTGTTTGTGTTGCAGCACTGTGCTGTGGCCTCCTTGCATCCCAAACGAAAGCAAGTGGCAGAGCTGCTCCTAAGGAAAGGAGCCAATGTCAATGAAAAAAACAAGGAGTAAGTGTCCTTACAGAAGGGCCGCCCAGCCCTCTCCTTCTCGTTCATTTGACTGTTGTGTAATGTGCGGAACGTAACTTGATCGTTTTCAGCCCCACCACCGCCCGCTCCACTCCCTGCCACTGTGGACCCCGTCTACCCCACCAGTCCCCTTCCTAGATTCATGTCTTCTTCTTGTCCTGGTTTGGTTTGCGTTTCTCTGACTCACTAAGTCTAATTAGGGTTGCTTGAATGAGCATAGGCAACTTAGCAGTGGACACACCACTAAAGAAAATGCCTTCCCTCTGTCAACAGCCCTTAGCTGCTGGGAGTTGTCACAGTAGAAGTTACAAAGTCTCTTTCCTTTTTCTCCTTCCCAGTTTCATGACTCCTTTGCATGTCGCAGCCGAAAGAGCTCATAATGACGTCATGGAAGTTCTGCATAAGCATGGAGCAAAGGTAAGCCCAAACTCAGCATGCGGCAGCCGGCTGCTCTCAATACTTGAGTCCCCAAGAAATTCCTCCTCGTCAGGAAGAACAGTTAGGTAGTTCCTGGGTTTTGTCTTTAAAACCATAGGTTGTCCTAGGAAGTTGATTAGTTTTCTTTTCTGATAAAAAATGTTTCTTTGTCCTTTCTTCCTGGTCTCCTAGAAAGCACTAGGCAGCTGACATGAGTCTTCTGAAATACAGTTCAGCTCTACATTTGTGTTGGTTACTTCCTCATCCCTGTGATCAAACACTTGGCAGAAACAACTCCGGGATGATTTTACTCATGATCTTAAAGGGTTTAGTTTGTGGTCACTTGGCCCTGTGCAGTTGGGCAGAAAGCCGTGGTGGTAGAAGCATGTGGCATAGGAGTGGTGGTCACTCTGTAGACAGCAGAGAGCAAGAGAGCACAGGGCCAGGAACAAGCTGTCTTAAAAGATCCACCCCCAGGACCTGTGTCATCCAACCACGTCCCATCTTCTCAGACCCTCTCCGAATAGTGCCAACAGGAGCCTTGTTGGGGGACACTTCATATCAAAACCACAAAAGCAGGTAGAGAGAGGTAACTCAGTGGGCAAGAGTGCTTGCTGCTCTTAGAAAAGACCCAAGGTCAGTACCCAGCATCTACATCAGACAGCTCTCAGCCATCAGTAACTCCAGCCACAGGGATCCAACATCCTCTTGGGGACATACATACACACACACACACACACACACACACACACACACACACACACACACGGCATATATCCACACATACCCACACAGATATACACATACACATAAGTAAAAATAAGACACTTTTAAAACATGGAAATGTACATTATTGGGGGAGAATTTATTTTTGTGGTGCTGTAGATTGAACCTGGGGTCTCACTTTCTAGATAAGTACTCTACCACTCAGCTGGGTTCCCAGCAACCTCTACCATTTTTAAGTTAATACTAGAATTCATACAACGATACAGTCAACTTTCTTTTTCAGGTGTATTTTTATTGTATGTGTAGGAGTAATGCAGGACCCTGAAATGCAGGAACTGGAGCTGAGGTCATGGAGGAATGCTGCTTACTGACTTGCTCTCCATGCCTTGCTCAGCTTGCATTTTTTTTTTAAGATTTATTTATTTATTTATTATGTATACAGGAGAGGGTGCCAGATCTCATTACAGATGGTTGTGAGCTACCATGTGGGTGCTGGGAATTGAACTCAGGACCTCTGGAAGAGCAGTTGGTGCTCTTAACCTCTGAGCCATCTCTCCAGCCCCTCAACTTGCATTTTTATACAACTCAGAACTGCTTGCCCCAGGTGGCACCATGCACAGTGAGCACAGTGCCTCCTAAAACAATTATTAATCAGGAAAATGCCCCACAGACTTGCCCACAGGCCCATCTTAACTGAGGGTCCTTCTTCCCAGATGATGTTAACTGATGTTAGCTTTTAAGTTGACCCCACACACACCAAAAACAACAACAACAACAAAACGTAATCAGCATACCCACCCATCATAACTTCGTAATTTAAAAAACCATTAAAACACAATCTTCTAACCTATTTATAACTATTTCCTGTTTAGTGTTTAGGTGGTTTTGTAAGAACATAATGAAAGGCCGGGCGTGGTGGCGCACGCCTTTAATCCCAGCACTTGGGAGGCAGAGGCAGGCGGATCTCTATGAGTTCGAGGCCAGCCTGGGCTACCAAGTGAGTTTCAGGAAAGGCGCAAAGCTACACAGAGAAGCCCTGTCTCGGGGGAAAAAAAAAAAAAAAAAACCATAAGGAAAGATAAAATTTGATTATCATATTTTTAGTGAAACTTCAGTTTAATTACAAAATCACATTACAAGTAAAAACATTATTTAGTAAACATAACTAATATATTTCTTTGATGGTCTCCACATGTGTATGAAATCTCTTCCATTAATAATAGCTGATGAAACCACATATCACAGCTAAGCAGTGACCAGACCCTCAATCCCTACATCATGATTCTTTGTAAGATGAAGAGATTTAGGGGCTGCAGAGATGGCTCGTCTCTTGCATAGGCTCTGAGCTCTATTCTTAGCACCCATGTTGAGCGTTTCACAGCTGCCTGTGCCTCCAGCTCCAGAGGCCTCTGACCTCCATGCTACCTACACCCCACACAGAGACACATAACACACCCTCAATTAAAATAAAATATTTATAACAATTTAAAATAGTCGTACTAGGGGTAAATAATATTTTATACCATAGTAATGAAAAACCTTTCCATTTTAATTATCCTTCCTGCCTTTTGCTTTTCCCCTTGCATTACATAAGCCTCAGATTTGTTTGTAGTGTTTTAGTATTATACTACTTGATTATACTTTTACAAGTGAATAGGATTATATGTTCTCGTTTACAGTGCATGTGATCCAAAATTTTGCTTTAAAAGGACATTTGGTGTTTTTTTTTTTTTTATTAAAATCCAGATGAGTTAGAATCAAAGAGAAGTTGTACAAATTTCTCACATACTTTGTAGCTACTATGAATACATACCTTGGCATTGTTATATAAACAACATGTTATGTCAATAGAAATAACAATAAGCTAAGTGGGCTTTCTCTTATACTTGTGAGCATTATTTTTGTACTGGTCTGAGTTTTTTATGACATTTATAATACTCATACAAACCATGAATAATGTTCTTAATTTTTTAAATATTATTTATTTGTCATTACTGGTAAGGCATTTTATTTCAGAAAAATAGCCTTATTTTATAGTCCATGTCAGTGACATTGTGTAGGTCTAAGAATCTCAGTCCTTACTGGCCGTTCATGTATATAATGCATTTTTATTATCAGCATCTTAGTTCAGCAGTGGGCTTCTGTGATTGAAAACATTCTGCCAGTGATGCAGAATGACTTCTAAGGTACTATATCCTTCCTGGTCTTCCTTACAGAGAGTGTTATTGGTTCCTTTAAAGACACAAACAATACAAGTTGCCGTCAGTAGACCTCAAACCTTATCATGTTAGGTGTAGTGACAAATGCCTCTAATCCTAGCACTCGGGAGAGAGACAGAGGCAGCTAGATCTCTGGTGAGTTTGAGTCCAGCCTGATCTGCATAGTAAGCTCCAGGCAAGCCAAAAGAGTGTGGGAGGGAAGGAGAAAGAGAGAGGAGAAAGGGGGGGACGGGGGGGGGGGGGAAGCTGTGTTAACTCCCCTTTACTCATTCCTGGATCCCAAGGCAGGATGCTAATCCCACAAGGTTGGTGCATTCAGTTATTCATGTATTGGTTAAAAAAAAAAAAAAAAAAAAAAAATGGCTACTGCTGGGCCATGTTTTCCTTGCTTAGTGTATTCTTTCTGTGATTCCTGTTGGTTTTTAAATGACCCATGGTTTCCATCTGATTCTATAGCACTTTCTAAACATGTGCCTATGATCAAATACCTGACAGAAACCACATAAGGGAGGGAAAGTGTATTTTGCCCATGGTTCAGAGGTTCAGTCCATTGTGGCAGGAGAGCATGCTGGAATAGCCACCTCATGGCGCACAGGAGTCCAAGTGGAGTACTAACAGGAAGATACAAGCACAGAGGACACACCCCTAGTGACCTTCTCCTCCAGTCACTCCGTGGCTTTCCACAGTTCCATTCTTTAGTAGCCTCCAGATTGGGAATCTGTCAGTGGATTAACACATTCATTTAAACTGAAGTCCTTAGAATGTAGTCATCTCTAGAAAAGCCTTCACAGACACGCGTGTGCACGGTTGCTTTACTAATTACTACTTAGTCACATCCGTAGTCCAGTCATGTTCACAATCAATTGGTCATCACAACCTCTAAATACGTGGCTTAAGAAAGTCTTAACTATGGCTAGCACTGTTGAGTATATAACAGTAAATGAAGCATTTTCCTTCTGGAAGGCAGTTCCATACTTTAAGAGACATAAAAAGTAAAAATAACCTTTTTAGCACTGAATATTAAAAAATACTTGTTGAGAAAGTTAGGGCTTATGACTTGGTCTCCAACCATTTTAGGGTACTCTCTGGGCTGAGAGACTAGGGGCTTCAGGGAGAGAAGAGTGGTGGGGGTAGATTTGTTGTTTCGTTTGGTGGGGTTTTGTTGTTTGTTTGTGTCCTAGGCAGCTTAGAAACTGCTCTGTACCCAAGGCAGACCTCAGATGTGTGAGGATCCTTCTGTGTGGGCCTCCCTGAGAAACTGGCGGCATTGCCTTCTAGTAAAGAGTAATCCCTTCCTCACGGTCCCTCTAGAGAACCTGTTTCCTGTTTCCCCTGCCCGGGACAGCAGTGCTCTAAGAGGGACAGACTGCACAGACAGACTGTTGACTGTTGAAGTTGTTCTGGGCTCTTGTGGTTCTCTCCACGGAGCAAGTGCTTCACTCTTGGATAGCCTTTCCACTTCAGCTTGGTGCTGGAGACAGTGTTCAGGAGATAGTCTCTGATAGACTGTGAGGAAAGGACGATAGTGTCCTTTCATAGTGTGTGTGTGTGTGTGTGTGTGTGTGTGTGTGTGTGTGTGTGTGTGTGTGTGTGTGT